AACCACTTCTTCACAAACATTTGTCAAACAAATCTACGCTATGAGAAACACCTTACACCCGCCCTTGACCGTGGGCACGGCTCTTCGAACAGTTCAATAATCTCTGCAGAGGTTGCACGCTTTATCCACACGACATGAAACTTACACCGTTTACCCGTCGGTAACGGAAGTTCGTGATAAGGCCTTTCCAAGGCTAACCCATGAAAATCGCATGAGTATCAGGCAAGGACAGCCGTCATCCACTCAGGAAATACCGAGGATGTCTCCTACAGATATCGCACGCCACAATAGAGGCAAAAAGACACCCATGATGGGCCAAAATGTGTAAAACTTCGTCTCCTCATCCTCGGCATTCCACAACCATTGGCACACCAACTCCCATGTGATAACAATTTACATAGCCAGAGACATCCCATAAATACCCGTGCGATCACACTGTAATGTGTTTGGATGGATTTCCCAAAGGAATCGGTCCTTAACAACAATACGTGGCCAAACCACAAAGGCATGACTCCGCATCACCACCACTTTCACAACACATTTTATTTCACAACACCTCAGTTGTACCGGATTTTTAAGCAAGTAATTTGGAATAACCCAAGTTTCCCACACGGCAAACAACGTAAGCATGGCTAAGCGAAACTATCTCGGTAATCATATAATGTTACCGCTGCAAACATTTGTGGAGCTATCAAAGGTATGGAAACATCAACCTATGTAATATAAGTGCGACTACTAGGTCGGTCCGTCGGATGTATAAACAATCCGAGGGCTAAACATATTATTCGTGTATACTAAATAATGCACTTTTCAAACAACATATCTTTGCAAATATAGGGGCAATGTGATCAAAGAGGCTTGCCTTGCACAGGGTTGGGGTCTTCTCCCTCGAAAGCGATGTCCAGAGCTTCCTCGTACTCGGGCTCTAAACGCGAAAACAAAACTAATTAACAAAAGGCAATTAAAACAGGCTCAAATCAGAGAAACAATAGAGCCACTGTGTAGATATCAATCTACTACTAATTAAAAAAAAAATAAGAGATGCTTCCTTCGTCCATCACAAATAAAAAAATAGCGAAGAAAAGAAGAAGTCCGATTCCCCTTAAAAGGAAAAACAAAAAAATCGGAGAAAAAATAGCCAAAAAAACAAAAAAAAATCCGATTCGAAAAAAAAAAAGAAAAAGTAGCCAAAAAAATGATCCGATCCCTTAAAACGGGAAAAAAAATCCTATTCCGGCCCACGCACGGTTTTTCTGTTTTTTTTTAATTTTTCGTTTCTTTCAGTTTTTTCTTTCCTTTTATTTTGTTTTTGTTGGTTTTTTTATTTCTTAATATATAAACTTTGTAAACATCTCTTTCTCTACTCCCGTCCCTACTTAAAAAATTCACATCTAAAAAGGTCCGTTCGATTCCCTAAGAAAGTGGCAAAAAAAGGGTTAGTCTACTACTTTTAAAAAAATAAGAGGCGCTTCCATCGTCCGTAAAAAAACCGACGGAAAAAACCTAGTGAAAAAAGTCCGATCAAAAAAACTGGGCAAAAAAAACCGTAAGAGGTGCTTCCATCGTCCGTAAAAAACTCAGCGGAAAAAACCGGGCAAAAAAAGTCCGATCAAAACAAACTAGGCGAAAAAAACAAATCTGTCCGATAAAAAAAAGGGGCCAAAAAAGGGAAAAGTAAATCGAAACTAATCCGACTCTGTCGACGCGGTTAAAAAAGGGCGATTTTTTTTAAAAAAAATTGTCCGATTCCATAGAAAAAGGAATTATATGTGACGCAGTAAAAAAAATAGACCAGACGAAAAAAACCGAGCAAAAAAACCGGGCGAAAAAACTGGGCGAAAAAAAGAAAAAAAAAGTCCGATAAAAAAACGGGGCGAAAAAAAAAACACGGGCGAAAAATAACAAATCTGTTCGATCAAAAAAAGCGGGGTAAAAAGAGGAAAAAAATCGAAACGAATCCGACTCAGATGACGCAGTTAAAAAAACTGTCTGATTCTAAAGAAAAAGGAATTATATGTGACGTAGTAAAAAAAATCAAATCCTATTATATCTAGAAAGGTCCGTCACTATAAGAAAGTGGCGAAAAAAACCATTCGTAAAAAAAATGCACGAGAAACAAATAAAAAGGGCAGAAAGAAGCATGGCAGAAAAAAAAAATCTAATTTCTATTCGTCTTTTTAGTAGTCCGTTTATATCTCTTCTATATCTCTAATCTAAAATAATCTAACTATTTTAAAACATAACTTTCTACCTTATATTAAAAAAGAAAAAAATACGTGAGAAAATAGAACGGTTTAAAAACGCGTGAGGAAAAAATATCAGAAAAAAGCGCAAAAGAAAACGCGCTAGAAAAAAAGTTCCGTAGTCCATAAAAAAAACACGCGAGAAAAAATATTTACATCGTATGTAAAAAAAAGCATAAAAAAAGGCATACGAGGAAAAAACTGTTAGAAAAAACACTAAATTGATGGACACTTGGTCGGATAGGATCCATCAATTTTTTTCCATCTCCTACACGACTTGTGTTTCGTCATCTTTTCTCATGTATTGGACACGCTGCACATCTTTGTAGGCAATTATCAGACTATTTTTGTGAAGTGTAGCTATTATTCTTGATAACATATTATATGAAAATAATATTAGTAAATAAACATATTTTAATTGTTATTTAGAGAAGAGTGTACAATGACTCTATTTTGTGTAGACTTGACCATACGAGGTAGGGTCGGATTTGATTGGTTGCAAGAATGGGATTAAAAGAATATTTTAGATTATATGCATGTTGCCTTATGAATAATTCAATTATTTTAGGTAAAGCAAACATCGTAAGGTTGCCACCATCGAGGTTGGGCCATTACATTTAAGATGTTCTAATTTTCTGATTGGCATCGACATGGTTATGCATAAAAAACGTATATTATCATTATGTTTTTTTCACCCGTTGCAAACACACGAGCGTGTTTGCTAGTTTTAGAAAAATTTAGGGACTTGAACAGGGTCAATCGGAGTTACGGTTGAATTTCTAGGAATTTTCAAAGGATAAATTGATTTTCTGGAATATTGGAAATTGATTAATAACGGAAAGGAATATTCCATTGGAATATTCCGCTAACTTGGATGGCAATGGGGGGCCCACCTGTCAGCGACTTGATGGAGGGAGAGAGGCACGGGCCCTGCTTGTCAGCGGCTTGAGGGAGGAAAGGGAGGTGGGGCCGGCTTGGCAGTGGCTCGGCACGGTTTCTTCTTCCTCCTCTCGCTCCTGCTCGATCCCAGGCAGCGTCGCAGCGATGTGCCGCGGCGGCGAGGTTCGGCTCGGTGACCGGCGGCCGGGGAGGCGGCGGCAACCTCCGGCGGAGCTCCGGCGAGGCACCGCCGACGACGGCGGCCCTAGAAGGCGCGGCACAGCGGCTATAGGTGGCGGTACAGAGAGCAAAATGAAAGAGAGAAAGAGGAGAGAGAGAGATGGCAACGGTGATGGCAAGGAAGGGGCTCGGGTTCCCCTTTAGGCCTTGTTCGGTTGGGTTGTTCCCGGCCGGGATCGGGGCCCAATCCCCATGGATCACCCCGGCGAGGAAAAAATCCCGGCCCATGCGAAATTGTGCGTTCGGTTAAGCCCTACCGTGAATTTTAGCCCAGCCCACCACGGGGTTTCCCTCTTCTCTAGGCCCGGGAAAAAATCATCTACTCCTGGAGCGTGGAAAATTTCCTCGAGTGGAGGCGGCGGCGCAACGAAGACGTGACGGAGGGGGCAGCGCGCGGCGCGACCCGGAGGCGACGGCGACGGCGACGGCGACGACACGGCTCTCTCCTCCGGCCGCCACCTTGTCTCCAGTGAGCACGCTGCCTTTCCCCTTCTTCCCTCCTCTTGCAAAGCTAGGGTTAGGGTTTTCTTCTCTTCTCCCTTTCCTGTCGTCGCCGCCATCTCTCTTCTCGCCGTGTAGCTTTCTGGTGAGTGAGCGCTTAGCGATTCGTCGTCCTCCTCCTCGTATCCTGCTCGATCTGGTGAGTTCTTGATTTGGGCGTGGAGCTTTTTTTCTTGGTTGGGTGGGGATGAGTTCTTGATTTGCCGCCGCCACCGCACCGCCCAACTCTGGTTCTTGATTTGAGTTCTTGATTCACGGTGGCTTTGAGGCAGCAGATGGTGAGAGCGAGAGCTGTACGGTGGCTATGGAAACATGCTTGCCTTGATTAGTTTTGCTTAGTGTGACTGATGCTGTGATGCTTGCCTGAGCATGTCTTGTAAAATTGACTATACAAGTTTTTACAGTGAAGTACTCAGTTCTTGGTGCTTCCGGAGTCCCAACTTGTGGTTGTTGGTTATATTTCTGTTTGGAAATTACAAGGGTTGGGTGTCCTGATTTTGAGGATTGTAGAGCTATGGAGGTACTCTGTAATTAGTTTAACATTTCTGAATTGTAAACTAATTCTATCGTCATTGTTTCACAAACAAACTAGCAACAAATTGCTGCAGTATATACAGTAATGTATACTTAAACTGATTTATTTTAAACTAACAACAGTAGCTTTTAGTCTCATTAGACTAACAGATTTGTTTTCCTCAACATGATACTTGTATAAAACATGTTTATCATAGCTATTCAAGCACTAATATGTCTAGTGTTAAATGAGCTGATTGGGTGATTAATTCTGTACCCATGTTATAATGTATTTGATGATGAGATCCTTCTATTTGATTGAAAAACAGCAGCTCCTACTTTGATGCTAGCTAGCACTAGTTCTGGGTTTTATGTAACTCTAGTTCTAGTTCTGAATTTGAGTTGTCAGTGATGTGTATAAGTTGTGCTTGTTTTGTAGATTGCACGTGCACCCATTAGAGTTGGAGAAGACCAACCTCCTCCTTCAATTATTGTTGCACTGTGCACTCTTTAAGAAAAAAAGATCCTTATTGTTCTTTTCATTTTTCCCATCAATTTTTAAATATGCTTCATAACTTGGACTTCTTAAGATTAATTCCCATAGTTTAGCGATTCTTTTGTGATTATCTTTCTAGATCTTTTGTTGCTGTGCTAAGTGCAAAATTGTAAATAATTTGTGCTCTATCTATAGTACTACTATGGATATGAGAGCAAGAGACCACGCTAGAAAGAGGAGGGAAGAGGAGGACGATGATATGATGTTGTTTATTTTCCCTGCACTACATTTGTTGAGTTCTAGTGGAGCAAGGGAAAAGAAGCGACGCCATACATCAAAGATAACAGGCGAGGAGCGTGTTCGGGAGTTGCTTGAAGGGCATGTAAAAAATTGCCGGGTAGCATTCAGGATGGAGCCGGAAATATTTATATCTTTGGCCAATTACCTTAGAACTGAAAAGTTGGTCGATGATACTAGGATTAAAGTTGAAGAGAAGTTGGCATTCTTCTTATACATGCTTAGTCACAATGCTTCATTTGAGGATTTGCAAGAGAAATTTGGGCACAGTGGGGATAGCTTTCATCGTCACGTAAAGCATTTCTTCAACTCAGTTGTCCCTTCGCTCTCGAAGCGGTTTCTGAAGCCTCCAAATCCTAATGAAGTTCATTGGAAAATAGAAAAAGATCCTAGATTTTATCCCTATTTCAAGGTTCTTACCTAAACACTTATATCCTTATTAATATGCTGTTTTACATTTTTAGAAAATCATATGTGGTTTTTTTTTTTGCTGCAGAATTGCCTTGGTGCAATTGACGGCACCCATATACCCATATCTATATCATCTGACAAAGCAGCTCCATTTAGAAATAGGAAAAATACTCTTAGCCAAAATGTGATGATAGCTTGTGATTTTGATCTGAAGATTACTTTCATGTCTACTGGGTGGGAGGGGTCGGCTACAGATGCCAGGGTTCTTACCTCTGCAGTAAACAAAGGCTTCCAAGTACCCCCTGGAAAGTTCTATTTGGTTGATGGTGGATATGCCAACACCAATTCTTTCCTTGCACCATATCGTAAAGTCAGGTATCATCTAAAGGAGTATGGGGCAGGTCGGCGTAGACCTCAAAACTACAAAGAGTTATTTAACCATCGCCATGCGGTATTGAGGAATCATGTTGAAAGGACTTTGGGGGTTGTAAAAAAGCGCTTCCCTATTCTCAAAGTTGCAACTTTCCACAAAATCAAGAACCAAGTGAAGATACCAGTGGCTGCTGCAGTGTTCCATAATATTATTCTATCACTGAATGGGGATGAGCAATGGTTAAATAACCAACCACATAATATCCATCCAAGCAATTATGTTGACCTGCCAGATGGTGATGAAGGCAATGATCAAAGCACTAATCAAGGGAAAGGAAAATTTTCACAAATCATGTTTTCGAAAAATTTGTCCTTAAGGTTTGACCATTTGGCTTATCCTACAGTCGAGATGGCTCTGATACCAACTTGTCACGCCCGGAAATTCACTAGTAATTTCCGAACTTATTTGTGCATAAAATCCTCGTCCAGGAATCAGCCGAGGTACACAAACTGACAATTTAATATACAGATTCATCAAATTAACTAAAACGATAAATACTTACTTAAGAGGCACTAAGTCCTCACTAAGAAGAAAACTGCAGCGGAAAATAAAATCTAGCGAAGCTCCGGCTCCACTCCCACAGGCAGCTCAACTGGGGTATAAGCCAAACGTCTTCTCCTTCGCAACTTGTCTTCAACTGAGGTTGATTGATTATTGCAAGGTGAGCATATGACATACTCAGCAAGCCACACAGCAAATATGCAAGTGCACAAGAATACCAAAGGATGGCGTAATATTGGCTCATTTGCAAAAGCAGCATTTAGCAAAACATTTAAGAGAAGTAAAAATAGTGGAGTAATTAATCAGAAATTTTAATCAACACTGAACAGCACACCCATGCTGCACAGGCCCAACCATCCTGAACAACCATACCCGGCTGTACAGATCTAATCTCCAAACCAGGAGCTAAGCAAATTATTATCAGGTATAACATCCATAATTATTGTGAGAGGTGTGAGACTAATCACGAAAAACATTGCTCAACTCGCCCATAACCGCGGGCACGGCTATTCGAATAGTTTTACTCTGGCCAGAGGTGTACCACTGTACCCACAAGACACAGCCTCAACATCATGTCTACCATGCGTCGCGATACTGGAAAGTACCCGAATAGAGGCTGTGACAATACCCTCTGCATAACACAACTCACCACAGTGCACCATTCCTGGATCATAATCACCCCCTTATAAAACAAGGCATGGACTCCCCAGCGACCCCCGTGGGCTTATCTCCGCCACTTCTCAGTCTGGTGCCCCGCAATGAACCATGCTATACAAAAGGTAAAGCCGTTGCCCACGCTGGCTTGTGGTTGGCACGGTTAATGTTCCACAATAGTAGCTCGCGAACCGGTCCTTAATTGCCATGAGCACGACTCTCAAAACCATGTGCTCACAACCCACCATTATCAAGTTTTAGTTGGCAAGTAATTAATTAATCAATCACGATTGACCATCGTGAACTATCATTAAGCCATCATTAAATAATAGTGAGTCATAAGTTATCCCAATAGTGTGCTAATGTTTCTAAGCATGGCTAAGCAATTATATCTAACATCTAGTTGAACCAATATATATAAAGCTCAACTAGTCCAATTATAATCACCCAAGGTATAAAGGAATAAAGTAATCAAGAACAAAAGGGCCATAACAAAGAATAAGTTAATTCCACCCAATGACATTTGAAAATAAATGCACAGCTGAAATAAATAGAGAATTTAAATATAGGATCAACATGCTCAAAGGGTTGTTTGGGATCTGTGTGACTTGCCTTGCAATAATCGGTCTTTAATTAATCTTCTTGAATACTTCCGGCGCACTCGCGAACCTTCGCAACGACGGAAACGACAAGCTAACACGCAAAACGAGGAAAAAGACTAATAAAAACCAAATAAACAATACATAAAAAGTAAACAAACATGTAGATTATAATTTTAGATGAATTATGAGGCTTGAACGGCCTCATTCTGATTTCATATGAATTTATTATGAATTTTACAAGATTTAATTCCAATTAAGCCTATTAAAGAAAAGACTATTCCAAATTAATTAAACAATTTACAAATGATTTATAGCTGAGACAGAAGATTAAAACAACCTCCGGAAAAGATTAGATCATATTTGGTAGATGACATATATTAAAAAGGAATAATATGTCATTGAAAAGAACGGATTTATATTGATTTTGGACGGCTGAGATTAATCTTGACCGAGAGTTGACCAAGATCGGATGGCTTAGATTGATCTGGCAAGCGGGCCTCACGAGATACCGACTCAACGAGTCAATTCTACGTGACACGGGATCACCTAAATGATCAACCGAAACCGGCGAACGGAACCGGCGGCTCTGAACTAAAGGACGACTCAACACGGACGAACGAACGAAGCACGGGGAACACCTCGTTCGAACGAACGAGCGAACGACTCAACAACGGCTGTGGCTAAACCGGTCGGCTAGACACGATTCACGGTAAAGCCCTGGTACGACAAACGATAGGCCGGTAGGAACCTAGGGTTGCACCTACGGCTACACAACTCGACTAAAAGCAGCGGCTAGGTTTAAGCGGCACACAGCTGCGACACGGCGGCACTAAGACAACTTGACTCGGCTAGGCGGCGGCTAGGCGGAAACACGCAGCTAGGGTTAGGGTGACGGCACAGCCGGTAGCGACCATGCACGGCTAGAGCAGCAGGGCTGCGAGCAAAAACGCAACCGGCACGGCTGCGGCTGTGGCAAAGCGGCAAACAGCGGCAGCGGTAGCGACTAAGCAGCGGTGGCTAAGAGGCTCGGTAGAGCGACGGCAAACCGCAGCCGCACGGCGTGCAGCAGCTACGACACAGCGACGACGACACACACGGAGACGATGATGACGCTAGGGCCAAACAAGATTAGATTAGATCGGATTAAGGCCCTAGGGAAAACCTCACAGGTGAACGGCAAAGGAGCGGCGGTTGCCGGCGAACCACGGCACAAACGCAAACGGAGGGCACCGGGAGCGAGAGGGGATCAAAGTGACCCTTACCACCACTTATGCGACGACGAACGGCAACGGAAGATAGCCGGCGACGAGCTTCAAAGGGCGGCGAGGTACTGTCCACGGAGGCGATGACTTTCCGGCGATGTGCGGCGACAACGGAGGGGTGGCCGGGCTTCACTTCGCAGCTGCGAATCCAATGGAGTCGATGGCGACAGAGGGCGATGACGGGAGGAGCAGCAGGGCTTCGCCGAAGATCAAAACGCGACGGCGAACTTCGGGTTTACGGCGACGATGGAGCTCCGGTGGATTTTGGCTTCGGGGAGATGGCTGCCGGGCTTCCTCTCCTTCTTGCGAACCCAACGGCGGCAGCGGCGACCAAAAGCGGCGGCTAAGGCGGCTGCTAGCTGCGGCTGGAGACACAGCGACCACGGCGGCGCTCTGGTTCACGACGACGGGCAACCTCCGGTGGGATTTGGCGCAAAACAACCGGTGGCCGAGGTAGCTCTCACCCTTGCGAAGCCGAGGGAGGCGACGGCACTGACCGGCGATGGCCGGGGCGACGGCGCACGGCGGCTGGAGCGGCGCCGGCGACGACGGCGGGGTGGAGCACGTGGCGGCGGCGCTACGAGGCACGGGAGACCACGGGAGAGGGGGCAAACGAAAGAGGAGGACTAGGGGGTCCTTTATATAGCCATGGGAGCTCGGGTCCGGGCCCAAAACGACGGGAAAAACTCGGGAAAGTTTAGATCTTCGCCGGAAAAAGGAAAGGTTGAACCGCGAAATTGGAAAGGATTTCCATAGAAACTTTTGGGGATTTCTTAGGGAAAAGGAAGAGGAGATTGAGAGGATTCCATTCCCGCAACCAATTTGGAAATAGGAGCAACGGGGAGGTCGGATTTTGGAAGGTAATCGGCGGCACTGTGCACGGCACGGGAGACAGTCGGCTGGAGGAGGAAGATGGAGTACTGTAGCGCCAGGGACGAAAAACAGACTTATATGCGGCTGAGAGGAAGGGAGAGAATAGGAGGGAATGGGCTGAATTCGGCCCAAGCTGAGGAGGAGGATTTTTATTACTTTTCCAAATAAATTAACCAATGAGATGATCTTTCAATTGTTAAAAATATTCCAATGCTCAAATAATTCCAAGAAAAATCTTGAACATACTTGGACACTCAAAGTATTTAATATAATAATATCCAGATCATTTAATGATTAATTTATTTTTTAAATAATTGCTAAACTGTTCTTTGTATTATTAACATTAGGAATTGAGCTCCGAAAATTCCGAGAAAATTTCAGAGAGTATAATTAACCATGGAGAATTTAATAAAAATTAAATCCATCCATGCTTTATATTTAGGAAATTTTATTTCCCACATTTAACTTCACTTGTAAATTAATGAACATTTAATATAAATTCTATTAATGAATTATTAAATAATTTATAAATCCTGAAACGAAAATCAGGATGTGACAAACTACCCCCCTTACAAAGAATCTCGTCCCGAGATTCGGAACGGCTAGAAAGAAAAGGGCATAGGTAAACTGCAGTCTATCTTATTCCATAACTCCGATAATTATTCTAAGGCTTTAAAGAAAACTACTGCTGCTTTGAAACTGGTGGCTGAGCTGTAACACTTGAAAACGCAACTCTTGAAGACGCAACTGGCACTGCATTTGATCTCACCACCGATGTTTAACTGTTAAGACTGTCCTTGACCAGCGGAAGAAGATTCACCAATTTGGAGTGGCTTGATACGCTGCCTCTGGCTACTACCTTGTGCCTCCTGGAATACAGTCATTTTCCTTTTACGGTTATCCATCCTGTTCTTCTTGTCTTCAAGTCGAGTTGCTTTGTCAACCAACTGCTGAAAATCAGCATAGTCATGAGAGATCAACGTAACTGACAGTTCATCCTTTAAGCCTTCCAAGAACTTCTCCTGCCTTTCCTCGTCAGTACGCACATCTTCTGGAGCATAACGTGCCAGACGATTGAACTCATGAAGATACTCTGCCACGGTTTGATCCTTTTGCTTCAATGCCCTGAACTCACGCTTCTTCAAAGAAACAACTCCTGTAGGTATGTGTGTCTTCTTGAATGCTTCCGTGAAGTCCGCCCAAGTGATTGGTTGTCCTTCTGCTCTGTTCATCCGGAATTGATCCCACCATTCTGAAGCAGATCATTGCAACTGATGTGAAGCGAAAACAACTTTCTCCTGATCCGTGCACTGGAGCAGTTCCAACTTCTTCTCAACAGCGTGCAACCAATCACCTGCTTCCACTGGGTTGGTAGTGCTAGAAAAGGTAGGTGGCTTCACACGAAGAAAATCAGTTAACTTGTTC